ATATGTGTGTGTACGTAACTACTTGTGTTAGCGTCAGTATTGTTACGTAAAACTGAAATATCTAGAAAGCCTCCACTTGGCTATAAATATAACCAACGCGACGCGCCAAGAGAGTATCTATTATTAGTTCGCTATAATCAGTGTGCTATAAACTTCGGAAGCTATAACTGTGGTTGTTATAACGCTTACCAATCGGAAAACTTGAGATATTTGACCAGGAACCTTTAAATAGTTCGAACATTACAATTCGTTTAACTTCAGTGGATTCTCATCGGACATTAGTATTTTTACGAAAACATTATCTAACGTCACCGGTAGGAAAATATCGGTGCGTGTGGCCAATAAATAACGAAAGACAAAGCTAGCTAGCTGGCTTCCCGTTAAGCGAATCGTACCTACACCAACTCGTAATTAACTCTTTCATCGTGAACCCTCGATAAAATATCAAGGAAGTTCCAGACTAGAAAGAATACTTTACATTGCTTATGCGTTTGTGAAACTTTTGTTTATAAATCGTTGTTTGTACTACCTATTTGTAATAATTGTTATCGTAAATTGCATTGTCGTGTGTATATTAAAACGTATTTGTATAAAAGAAAATTGTGTGTACCAATCTTGTTGGCAAATATCATAAACTGACTGAATATCGGCTTTTACTTAACTATTGAATACAAAGTACAATTTAACTACTAAATTTAAAATTATCAGTTAACTCAATTTCAGGCTATTTGAAATTCTAATGCGTAACACAAGGGTCAACAGTGAGGGTACCTATCTAATGAAACAACGAATTTTAATCTTTTTTTAAACTAGAAAAGTAAGAAATTATACTTAGCTATACTTATTATAAGGTTGATCTTTAGTTTTGCTCTAAGTAGACAGCTTGTTCTGATCGGAAGTTAACATTAATCAAATTTATTTTTATTATTTAAAATTTACCAGGCGTCAAGTACCAGCTCAAGATAACGTGAAAATATGTCATATAAGAAGTATGTCCATATATATTAACATCAAACGATACTTGGCGATACAGATTAGTGGAAAGTCATCTTGAATTAATGTATTGTAGAGAGTAATTGAACAACATTAAGCGATTTAATCCTCAAAGATTCAGTCTGTTAAGTTTGATGCAGAGTAAAGCGAAAAAGGTGTTGATAAAAAACAAAAATCAGGGTTAAAATATATCAGCTCGTTCATTCTTGGGAGATAACCTAAAAATAACCGTAGTTTAAGATAGATGCTCTCTTTCTAAAAGAAGTCCGAAAAAAAAAAAGTGACGACCCAACTGCTGTTTTCCTACTGCTGTAGTCTTAGCAATATCATTTTTTGTAAAATATCACGTATCACACGTTGGATAACGTAAAACGGAAGATATATCGTACAGTGCCCAAGATTTTCTGGAATGATGGAGCAACTTGTACTGGGATGTGTACGTTATTTAAGGGTTGATTAATTAGACCAGTGATTCATCTGTAGCGGTTATTTAATACGTAAAATAATTCTTTTTTTTTTTTTGGTGGGGTGTGGGCAATAGGGAAATAATTATGATACTACCACTCCAGCTAAACAAGATTTTATTACTCACACTCTACATACTTAAGATATTCTCAAAGCATTGTTATTTCTTTCTAGGCTGTAAGTTAACACATTGTTTTCAAGTTTAACAATTACATTTGCTATTTCTTGTAAACAATACTAAAACACAATATAAACTAACACTGGAAACTCTAGTGTTTATTGAAAAGAACTAGCAAAATAAGAATATGACTTAATAATTAGCAACAGTTTAAAACTGATTATTTAATAAAACCAATTCCAAAGCACAGAAGTCTATTGGAAACATTGCATTCACACACAAGTACATGTACTGTAAATTATGGAGGACATGCCATGCACGCAGAAAACCCACTGTTCCTTCTTAGAACGAGTGTTTGTGTACATAGCAGATCCCAATAATATTTTCTCTATTAAAAATAAAGCTAATATTTAATCAAAATATAGATCACAACTTGTATCAACCCAAATGGATTCATATTTATTCCACATAAAATCCACTATTTCTTCTTAAAATGAGTGGTTGTGGGAAAAATAAGATCGATAAAATTTGAACTATATACCTCCCTGTTAATTGTCAGTTAGTTCTTTTCATCTCAAAATGACACAGACCAAAATGGTAAAAAACTGAGAAGTCTGGTGGTTCCAGTTGTAGAAAACATCAGCATGTTCAACAGCTGTTTCAACTGTTTTATAAATCTCCATGAATATTTATTGTAATTATGTTGACTGCAAATTTTAAATATGCAACTAAATGAGGAGAGTAGGGAGATCCATAAACTAATTTTATGCTTAAGCATGAAACAGTTGCTCCCCCTAAAAAACAAAACAAAAAATGGAATCATTACAGAAACAACCCATTTAAAGAACGGCTATAACTCTACACATTTTTGTTTCAATATTAATGTAAGCAAAACCAAAATGTTAATAACATTAGAGATGAAAATTGGGCATGAAATGTATATGTTGTGATATTGTTAGTCATCAACACGTTTAATTTTGGGTAATTATTGCTAAAAATAATGACTAGCCTTAAAAATGTTGTGTATAGAAATGCTGCATAAAATAGTATCAGAAAAACAATTCAAACTCCCAGAGTGTTTCGACAATCATCTCGCTGTCATAATGTCTCTTCAATCAGTTTTTTAAGATTTCATTTTTAGGGCTCACTTGATCTAATGGTGTGATGGAAACATTATTATGAAAAACAAAAACAGCAGCAAATCCTCGACTATATTGAAACAAATCTACTTTTAAATAACAATACTATCAAAAATAATGATCAAATAGTGAAGACCTCTTCTTTCCTTAAAATCCACTATTTCTTCTTGAAATGAGTGCCTGAAAGGAAGAGGTTTTCAATCACAGATGTCTGTCTACTAACAACTCTCAAGCACCACTGACCATTACAGTCACCAAGTCTTGGCAAATATTTTAAATCTAAGAAATAATATCTGTAAGTTTATATGTGACATTAGATTAAATATACTGATTACAATAAAGAAAATGTAAAAATAATTTTTTATGTTTTAATGGCAATTATAATCATTAAATAAATAGCAGCACTGGAAACACCAAATGTATCACTAACAAATACTGTATGTTTGTATCACGTTATATAAAATTCCATAAAAAAACAAAAAAAAGGTTACAGTCAAAGAAGTCACTTCATGACAAAAAATCGTACTGAAATTAAGCACAATATAAGGAAGTCTGATTGAAAATTATAAAAATACTTGGAAGTTGTGACACCACAAACTTCAACAAAACAATAACAAAAGAACACTCAGAAATTACTGGAAAAAACTTTCACTAAAGACAGAGAGCAACAAAAGAAGACATCTTCATTTATGATGCGTCTTTTTCATACATCAAATATAAAAACCCCTGTGAAATGTCCATCAGTATTATGATGTAAGATATGGTCTTAATAGATCAAGCTGAAAGATTCATTTCTACATTTGTATGTCTATTTATGATGTAAAATACTGTCTTAATAGATCAAGCTGAAAGATTCCTTTCTACATTTGTATGTCTATTTATGATGTAAAATACTGTCTTAATAGATCAAGCTGATAGAATTATTTCTACATGTGTGTGTCTATTTATGATGTAAGTTACTGTCTTATTAAATTAGACTATACGGTTATCATTAAAATACTGAGTTCTGTTTCAAATTCTTAATGAATCACAACCAGTAATTCAAAACATTGTATACATTTCCAAAAACGGGAAACCACATACTTCAAAACACAGAAAAATAGAAACCCAAAATTACTATTAATTTAATGTCATGGAGCTTCAAGGTTGTTACCATAAACATTTTTATTCTTTTGTATAAACAATATTATTGAGGTTCTGAATTATAATACAGTGGGAATTATCTGATAATGTACTCAAAACAAAAATTGTTGCTTGTTACAACTCAGAGAAAAATATAATACTTGTTACCATTGTTGCAACTCAGAGAAAAGTACAGTTCTTGTTACCATTGTTACAACTCAGAGAAGAGTATAGTACTTGTTACCATTGTTGTAACTAAGAGAAAAGTACAGTACTTGTTACCTTTGTTGCAACTCAGAGAAAAGTACAGTACTTGTTACCATTGTTGCAACTCAGAGAAGAGTACAGTACTTGTTACCTTTGTTGCAACTCAGAGAAAAGTACAATACTTGTTACCATTGTTGCAACTCAGAGAAAAGTACAATACTTATTACCATTGTTGCAACTCAGAGAAAAGTACAATGCTTGTTACCATTGTTGCAACTCAGAGAAAAATACAGTACTTGTTACCATCTTGAGAATTTTGAATTTTAATTTGTTTTTGGCATCTTCACTTTTTATTAGTAAATAATTCTAATACTTTTACAAGACTGTAATGTTTTTAAATATTTATACTTTTACTTCATAAAACACTAACATTTAGTGAAACTGAAAGGAAGTATCTACTATAAAACAGGCCGAAGAACAAATCCTAGATTCTCTATAAGAGGGTATCACTTATAAACTCCTTGTTATTTTGAAGCAGGAGTTGAGTTTTTCTTGGACATTTTGTAAAGTGAAGGTACACATAGGTTAGGTCCTTTTCAGAAAGTAGACTGTTCATGCTGGTGTCCTAGGAACAAGATATTACCAAATTAACAAGCAAACAGCTACACTTTCCTTAAAATCATACAAATTATTTTTTCCCAACACCAAACAGTAAAAGATTCTCACTACAACTCACATTTCTCGTGTTCAGATTGAAAGACGACTTGCATAAATTATTTTGTGCCTAAAAGTCATAGTACTTCAGCCATATATTTCATGCATGTAAATTAAAGCTTCCTTCACATGATGTAGACAGCAGACTACATGTTGCAAATTTATTATAATCGTTGAATGAGAATTAGGCCCAGCAAGAGAATCATTCTCACATAACACGGTGATTTGTGTAATAACTCAGTTTCTCTATTCATATTACTCAGTTATGATTGGAACACAACAGCATACCTAAGAATTTTTCCAATTCTTCATAATATTTAAAATATAACATATTACTGCATGCACAACCTAAACACATTCAGTCCTTGGATATTGTTCAAGAGTTATACTTATTCTATGACATTAAATGAGTACTGACAATTGGTAGCTGTGGAAAGGGAAGTAAAATATTAATAATTACAATAAGTTAACATTATATAGACTGGTACTTACCATTCAATACCTGACATCGAGGAGGTTGCAAAGAAATACAGATACATAATAAGTTATCACAAAGATCAGAAGGTGAAGTATCTCTTTAATTAAATGAAATTAAATTTATACAGTCTTGTTAAGGCAAATTTACAACTAAATAACATTTCAACTTTAGGACTCTTCTTACACGAACATTATACTAGATACTGTAATCAACACAGAAACTTAGTAAGTCTGCTCATAGTTAAATAAACTCTTAATGTTAAAATCAATAAAAACTAAATAAACTCTTTAATTCTAAAATCATTAAAAACTTAGTAAACTTGCTTGTAGTTAAATAAACTCTTAATGTTAAAATCAACACAAAAGCTTAGTAAACTCACTTGAAACTGTAATCAGATTATTTTAAATGAACTACACAATACTTGTACTGTCTACGAGATTATTTCATTTTGTCCTTATTACTGTATTGGAGAACCAAGTTATTGCACATAGGGACCCTATTCTACTACATGATTTGAACTGATCAAAACTACTTCATATTGAAAATTAAAATAATTAATTATTACATGTTCAAATATGAAAGTAACCACAATTACTTTCAGATTACATAAAAAATGTAATAATTTAATGTACCAAAAAAGTCATCAGATAATTTATTTTATATTCTAACACGTCTCAACTATCTGAGTGAAAAACAAAATAAATTACTTACCACGCCACTCACTATTTACTCAAATTGGAACTTATACACAATTATGATTCATAAAAAAAACCTGCAAGTGCTACCTAGAAGTTACATTTTGTTAAAACCACCTTTCACTTTTAAATTCTGAGTTTATCTTTACTAAACTCTCCCAGTGTTTCACTACACAGTTTTAACATATACTCTAGACGAATTATGATAAATAGTTATGAACTTTAAACTACTGACCTCTTCCAGTGTTTCACTACACAGTTTTAACATATACCCTATGATAAATAATTAAAAACTTTAAACTACTGATCTCTCTCAATGTTTCACTACAAAGTTTTTAACAAAAAGGTCCATATACTCTACACAAATTATGATCAATAATTCTGAACTTTAAACTACTGACCTCTCCCACTGTTTCACTACATACACTGTTTTCCTGTGAGCAGTTTGACAGTTGGTTTTCAAAACCCGAGGAAGACTCTTCAAAATATTTCTTCCTGAAACATTTTAGTTTGAGTGAAATTACTTTGAGAAATTCTTGTAAAAATCCACATGACATGATTGTAAGTTTAAATTAAAAACATTTTACAAGAAGTTTAATAAGTTTAAATGAAATGCTTTCTTTCAATGTTAATAACAAGGAAGTTACTAATCAGCTAATGTGAACCTCTTTATAAATTACTAATTTTATTTTAGAAACCAATAATCCAAAATGCCCTTTAAGAGAAAAAAGTTATTTTGTTTACGAGGAAAATGCTCAATTTGTTAATGTTTGTTGTTGTACCTATAGTTCTGTAAATTAAATGGATTTCTTTCAAGAATAAAATAAGTATTTGAAAAAAACATACAATCACACACAAAGAAGCTGTGTAAAACTTTTTTTGAAGATAAGTGTAGTTTTATTCAACATGGAAATATGTGTGAGTATAATGTTATTCTTCATCGAAAAGTTTATAAATGTAGTATATGCAACATACATACTTAATGTAACATATACACTACAGGTGTAAGAATAAGTCAAACGTTCTAACTTACTGTACTTGTAACAGATATAAGGTAAGACAAACGTTCAGACTTACTGTACTTGCTACAAGTGTAAGGTATGACAAACATTCAGACTTACTGTACTTGTAACAGGTGTAAGGTAAGACAAACATTCAGACTTAACATACTTGCTACAAGTGTAAGGTAAGTCCAACACTCAGATTTACTGTACTTGCTACAGGTGTAAGGTAAGACAAACATTCAGACTTGACATACTTGCTTTAGGTGTAAGGTAAGACAAACATTCAGATTTACTGTACTTGCTACAGGTGTAAGGTAAGACAAACATTCAGACTAACTGTACTTGCAACAGGTATAAGGTAAGTCAAACATTCAGAGTTAACATACTTGCTTTTGGTGTAAGGTAAGTCAAACATTCAGACTTAACATACTTGCTACAGGTGTAAGGTAAGTCAAACATTCAGACTTAACATACTTGCTACAGGTGTAAGGTAAGTCAAACATTCAGACTTAACATACTTGCTATATGATAAGTCTGAATGTTTGACTTACCTTACATCTATAGCAAGTATGTTAAGTCTGAATGTTTGACTTACCTTACATCTATAGCAAGTATGTTAAGTCTGAATGTTTGACTTACCTTACACCTGTAGCAAGTATGTTAAGTCTGAATGTTTGACTTACCTTACATCTACTTGCTACAGGTGTAAGGTAAGTCAAACATTCAGACTTAACATATTTACTACAGGTGTAAGATAAGTCAAACACTCAGAATTACTGTACTTGCTACACATACTTAACTAACTTTCTACAGATGTACAGTAAGTCATACATATATACTTAAAGACAATAGGGCAGTTTCATGGTTGAATGTGTATATCGTATTTCACTAAAAACAATGTGGTTAAAAAAAGTCGTGACACACTCAAGCTCATGTGTCTCTCTAAGTCATATCTGGTGACGGTTGATTAGCTTTAAGAAAAGCTAGTAGAAGCACCACATGGTGAACTGGGTGGGCAAACGTATGTCACACAACGTAAACAAAAATGGTGACAGCAGGTGAAGAGGAAGATGGATATAATGTGTCAATCGCATTATATACATGTCTGAACCAAAGCTTGCAGACAATAATGTGTCTAACTTTGACATGTCGGCCAAAGTGGACAAGGACTGGCAGTTGTCTGATCTTTCTTGGTATGAAATTGTTTCAATAATTATATGCTACAATGTTATAAAAGACTGGTTTACACTGCTAACGTTATGAAAATGGGACAAAATTTACAGTAGTCAGTATGTTCACATGGGCAATAGTATAGTAAATCCATGAGTAAATTCTAGTCAATATTTGTTTTTTTTTAAGTGATGAATCTATATCTAGATGTAGATCTAATATCAGCTGACGGACTCCCAATACTGTATTCTGCACATGCTCCAATTTGTATGCATATAACTAAGTATACATTAGTGCTGGAAAAGCAAACATAGCTGGAGTCATATTTTGATAATTGATATCGTAGATATACCATTTTTTATGTCACATATTGATATCTCCAATGAAATTTCAGAAAAAAATTTGTTATAAACATGAAAAATAAATAAATAAAACAGACAATTGTTTGTCCATGCCTTTTTTTTTTAGTAAATAACAACTGAAGGTGAAATTTTATAAACATTTTTTGTTTTAGCAGATCTGCTGGTGTGTTTATAAGACCTGAATGATTACTGGCAATCTTATATTGCTCTTACATCATTAGCTAAAACTTGAGCTTACCCAGTATATCTCTCATTTTTGAACAGCTGATTGGACATGACAATAGTCACTGTTATCGTTCTGTGAACAAGAGCATGATGTGCCACTGGCATGAGCCTGGTTGCTGTTTGCCGTTCTTGATGGATCTCCCTCATACTTTGGATACACATTGGGAACTGCAACTTTCTTTAGCACCATTTTATTTTTCAAATCTCATACCTAACTGTAGTTTATTTTTGAAGTCTGATTCCAAAAAGTGTTTATTGCATATATGGCAGCTCTCAGTTGGACTCCCATTATTATGAGTTTTTGATACAAACTTTGTCCAGGCCATGTGCCGTTTTCTGTCTGACTTAGGTAGAAACTTATATAGAAATACCTCATTTTCCCTAGGAATATTTCTACATTAATAAACAACACAACAAAAAACCATAGTTGTTTATGTTCTGGAACAACTTACCCATGAATAACTGTATTCACAATGTCTGTCAAATGAAATTCGTCTAGGAAAAAACTAATTGTTTTCGCATAAACAAATCAGCAGTTTTCTATAGACAAAATGGTGCAAAGAGAGGAAGCCAACTGAGATTGGCCTTGTTTACCTTGAACGACATCACTCATCTCTGACCCAATTTTACAACCAAGCGACTGCAAGGCTGGCTGTTGCACTAACTTTGGGAGCTTGCAGGGACAGGGTGAGGGCAAATTATCAAAAAATGACTTGGCCATAATTTTTAACTTATATTTCTACAGCACTTAAATATAAATATATTGTGGTTTTGACTATCTGACATCTTTAACAGAATGCTAAAAGTGTAAGATAAGTTCAAAAATACAGACTTAAGATACTTGCTACTGATGTATGATAAGTTAAACACACAGACTTAACCTATGTAATGGGTATGAGATAGCCATATAACTCACATTATGGCTCCAAACAATAACACTATAACTACAAAAGTGTTTTGATAGATCACTTTCATTGAGGGAATGAGACAGACAACTTACTCGTCTTATTTTCATCATAAAATATGGTTTCACATTCTTTACTTAGACGTAACAAAAAAACTAAGCAAATAATGTAGACTGTTATCTTAGTTATCAAATAATGTAGACTGTTATCTTAGTTATCAAATAATGTAGACTGTTATCTTAGTTATCAAATAATGTAGACTGTTATCTTA